TTCAGTACAATATTCGTCTCATCTCTTTCATATCATGGCATCAAAGTCTAATTTTTTTCGGATCACAAATTTTTCTTCCTCAATCTAATCGCTCCTATCCATTCAGATTGATATTATTTGTGAAGGGAGCGCGATTTTACTGTTACTTCGCAGATTTCCCAAAAAAAAAAAAAAAAAGGACTCAGCTTTGCTGCTGCTTTGTTTATTTCACGTATTGATTTGTCATGGTTACGTTTTCAACATCTAATTCTGGCGGTAGCCGACATGGTGGAGGTCACGACAAGAGTGGTGCTCGTGTGAATGCGGCATTCTCCAGTAGTATTGGTGATTCGTTTGTTGCCGGTTATGTTGGTTCTTCTACTGCTAATGCAGTTTTGAGTGATTCTGATCGCCTTGCACTTGGTGGTTTAACCAATGAACAATGGGCTCACTTTGTGTTTTTTATTAATTCCGCTAAACAAAATATTCCAGGTACGAGTGGTTTATTTGATTGGATGTACGATTGTGGGGCAACTCATCATATGACAGGGTTCCTGGAGTTTATTTCTGATGTTCGAGATATTCCCGCCCGTCCTGTTCAATTGCCTAATGATTCCCTGACTATGGCTAGCAAGGCTGGGACTGTTTATTTGGGATCTCATATCACTCTTTATGATGTTTTATACGTTCCAAGTCTTCGGTGCAGCTTGATTTCACTATATCAGTTGTTGGATCGCTCTGACTGCACTGCTCAGTTTACTAGCAAATTTTGTGTTATCCAGGACCGCACTTCACGGAAAGTGACTGGCGCGGGTGAGCAGTTGAGGGGTCTGTACTTCTTTCGAGGGACAGTTTCTACGGCAGTTTCTTGTGTTCAAAAAGTTTCTGCCGATGTGTGGCATCAACGTTTGGGTCATCCGTCTGCCCAAGTATTGTCCCAGGTTCCTGTTATTGACTTTAATTCTCGTAATTTGCATAACTCGTGTGATGCTTGTTTTCGTGCTAAACAACATCGTCGCAGTTTTCTTCTCAGTCGGACTGTTAGTCATGAGACTTTTCATTTGATTCATTGTGATTTGTGGGGTCCGTATCGTGTTCCGTCTTTCTGTGGTGCACGATATTTTTTGACTATTATGGATGATTGTTCTCGTGGAACATGGGTTTATTTATTGAATAATAAGACGGAGGTTGCTTCCACATTGCTAAATTTCTTTTCTATAATTAAGCGACAATTTGATAAATCGGTGCGTGTTGTTCGTAGTGATAATGGAAGCGAGTTCATGTGTTTGGCCTCTTATTTTCGTCGTCAAGGGATTTTGCATGAGACTTCTTGTGTAGGCACCCCTCAGCAAAATGGGCGTGTGGAACGTAAACATCAGCATATTCTTAACGTAGCTCGTGCTTTGCGTTTCCAGGCTCATCTACCTCTTCCTTTTTGGGTCATTGTGTTTTGACTGCGGTCTATCTGATAAATCGAACTCCTTCCTCGGTTTTACATGGTAAGACACCATATGAGATTCTTTATGGTTCGTCTCCTTCCTTGTCTCATTTGCGGGTTTTTGGTTGCCTTTGCTATGCTCATAACCAAGATCGTAATGGCGACAAGTTTGCTGCTCGGAGTCGTCGTTGTCTATTTGTTGGTTACCCTTTTGGAAAAAAAAGGGTGGAGTTTGTATGATTTGGATCGTCAGATTTTCTTTGTCTCTCGTGATGTGAAGTTTCTTGAGACTGAATTCCCATATAAATCAGACTCGTCTGAGCCAGATCCTTTGCCACCGCCTCTTGTTGTGTCCGTTTCTTCTGCGCCGGATGAGGATGAGGATCTTCATGTTGTCTCTATGCCTCATGTTTCTCCTGATACTGGGTCTTCTGCTACTGATATGGGCCTATCTGATGACCGGGGGGGTTCTGTTACCACTACCCCTCCCACTCTTTCGGTGGAGCCCTTGGGTCGTGGTCATCGGACTAAGGTGCCTTCTACTCGCCTGAAGGATTTTGTGGTTGACACTGTCCGACTCTCGACTATACCCCCCACTGCTTCTCCTCAGTCGTCTCCATCCTCCTGTACGCCTTATCCCATAGCACATTATGTTTCTTGTGATTTATTCTCTCCAGCTCATCGATCTTTTTTTGCTGCTGTTGCCTCCGCTGTTGAGCCTCGTACTTTTGCTGAGGCCGTGAACGATCCTCGATGGCGAGCCGCTATGCAGGATGAGATTCGTGCCTTGGAGAATAATGGCACGTGGGATGTAGTTTCTCTTCCATCTAGGAAGCGTGCGATTGGGTGCAAGTGGGTCTTTAAGATCAAACATAAGTCTGACGGTTCCGTTGAGCGCTATAAAGCGCGTCTGGTGATTTTGGACAATAATCAGGTGGAAGGCCTTGACTATCATGAGACGTTTGCTCCCGTCGCCAAAATGGTTACAGTCCGATTGTTCTTAGTTATGGCTGCTGCTAAGCATTGGGAAGTTCACCAGATGGATGTTCACAATGCTTTTCTTCATGGTGATTTGGATGAGGAGGTTTACATGAAGTTTCCCCCTGGTTTTCGCTCTGGCGTTAATTGGTAGGTTTGTCGTCTCCGTCGTTCCCTCTATGGCTTGAAGCAGGCTCCCCGCTGTTGGTTTGCTAAGTTGTCTACGGCTTTGAAGCGGTATGGTTTTTGTCAGTCCTATTATGACTACTCTCTTTTTACACTGCATCGTGGTTCTGTCCATCTGCATGTCTTAGTCTATGTAGATGATCTGATTGTTTCCGGAAATGATACCACATCCATTGCGGCCTCAAGAGTTACTTGAGTCGTTGTTTTCACATGAAGGATCTTGGGTTTCTTAAGTATTTTCTAGGTATCGACGTTGCCCGGAATTCTTCTGGCTTCTTTCTCTGTCAGCGGAAGTATGCTCTTGACATCATAGCTGAGGTCGGCCTACTAGGGAGCAAGCCAGCTGATTTTCCATTAGAGCAGAATCATCAGCTCCCTCTTGCTGAGGGTGATCTATTGTCTGATCCCGAGCGATATCGTCGTTTAGTCGGACGTCTTATCTATCTGACAGTGACTCGACCTGAGTTGTCTTACTCCGTGCATATGCTCTCTCAATTTATGCATCAACCACGTCAGGCTCACTGGGACTCTGCTCTGCGTGTGGTTCGATATTTGAAAGGCTCTCCTGGTCAGGGGATTCATCTTCG